AGGAGCTATACCTCTATTAGCATCTATTGTTAATGTTATTCTGATTCTCATGTAAGCAATGTACCAAGGATAGTGGCACTTTTCCTGTTCTTTGTATCCCCAGGAAAGAACATATTACCACTTAAAAGAAGATTGATTTTGTGGCAATCATGGAGTATAGGATGAAAGTACAGACGAATCAATATAAAAATAAACTAGATGTCAGCCGTCCAACCTACTAGTTCTATGGACTTCTCTAACAGTGAAAATATTTACAAAGCTGACTGTTTTGAACGTTTCATAGATAAATGAGAATAAAAAATAGAGTATGATTCTCTCCACCCTCCACCCCCCCTTTCCCTTAAGTTTCTATTTTTAACGCCTGTACAGTATCAGATGTAATATCCTGGTGTTCTTTCCCTAGTCCTGGCTTTGGCCCATAAAGTATACACATGCTACAGGAATCCAGCTACATTTGAGATGCTTCCTGCATAATTACTGTTCTACTTAAAACATTGAGAATTGGTACTCGACAGATAAGAATACTGTGCATACATGGTGGGTGGCTATGTTTGTGGATAAATTAGCAGACACCGCCTGACACCAGAGGCCATTCATTTCAGAAATGTGGTACACTTTCAGTCTTCAGTAGCACAGAATGTTGGTATAAGGAGTTCCAGAAACCTCAGTGCCAGTTGAAGTTTGGCAGTTGGTTCCTTCCAGCTGTTTTTAAAGGTATTCTCTCTGCAGAAATTTAAAAGTGTCTCATAGTTAAGACTTAAGATTTTTAGGTTTTAGCTGTTTCTGTTTTGATTCTTCCCTTGGGAAACAGAAAATGGGACCTTTATCCAGCAGTGGAGGGTTTCTGAAGTTCTGTAGAGTTAGATCTAAATTGTCACAACTGTAAATTGCTGGTAAAATCAGTGGTGGGAAAGTCACTGTGTGTAAAGCATACAATTAAATTATTATTCATGTTGGACTTTCAACAGTTATGGTGACATCAGGTAGACAGTGCAAGAAAAAAAAAAGGCAGAAAGTCTAGAAGCGATTTAAAATCCGAGGCTTTTTGAGGTCTTTTCATTTTGGGGTTTGATCTTCAGATCCTTAAGTGTGCATCTGTTAAAGAAAAAGTTAGATTGAAGCAAATTTTATTGAAAATTACTTTTCAGTCAAAATCCTGTTTTCAAAAGGGAGGTGTTTATTGTTGATCATTTTACATTATCCTCAAAGGTTAAGTGTATTAAATTTGAAAATGGATAATGAGTAACGTAGAAATGTAGTAAAAAAAATATTGGGACATGTGTCTCACTTTACTTAGACACAGAAAAAATGATATATTTTTTACTCTTTGAGAAAACTGAATTTACAAAATTATACATTATGATATACATTATGAAACACTTTGATTTTCAAAGCATCATATAGATTTCAGGAAATCAACTGAGTTTCTTCATATAGATAAATTGTAGGGAATATTATTTAATATGTAAGATATTGTATATTTTTGTTTTAAGAGTTATTTATGCATACAAGAACTGGGGTGCAGGCCAGAGGTACAGGGGTGAGGGGATTCTCCAGAGACAAAGTAGGGAGTAGAAAAGGAAGATCAATCAAAATATAGTGCTAAGGGGATCAGTGGGCAAGACAGGAGAGGTCTTCCTGACTGGGGATCAAACTCCTGCTGCACTGGCTGGTGAGAGCTTGATAGTACTGACTTTAACCCCTGCGCCACCAGGAAGGTTGTATTTAAATCAGGAACTCACCCCATTGCACAAAGCAAAATACTCCTATCTTATTTAATAAATAGAATAAAGATGTGAGTGAAATGCTCTCAATTTTACATCTCTATAACACAGTATGATATAACAGTATGATATAAAGAATCAGCAGACACTAAGAGGAGTTGATTTTTCTTCTAGTTTTTTCATAAATCAGAGAAGAAATATTTCTTTTTGAAATATCTAGGATAGGGCTAAACAGTAGCTCATAAAATGAGTAGCATCTAAGCAGTTTGAATTTATTGTCCACTGTGTAAACGATGTGAAGGATGGGATTGAGTGTTAGTGTCCACCTTTGGGACACCACAGCTCCACAATGCGTAAAGTTCTCAGTTGAATTTTCAAAAGTTTATAACCTAAGTGGCAATTTTTGATCGTTCAAAACATGTTATTAAGCTTTCATCCTAATATGAACACATGTACTGCAATAGTTTCTGAAATTTCCATATAGAGGTGGAAATTTGGAAATGGATACTGTAATTCGAAATAATAATATAAACTGTTGCAAGATATATGTGAACTCTGGGTACCACCTTAACATTTCTGTAAATCCAAAATTATTCTTAAAAATAGTCTCTTTTAAAAGACACTAACAAGAACAGAATTTATTTGTTTTATTCAATCTCTGGTCTAGTATTTTCCTTTATTACCTATAAGATGTAAGCATTTGGAGTAAATCAAATATGAAAACATTTCTATAGAATTTTTCTTCAAACGTGTCATATTATTTAACTCCAGAACCCTTCCCAGATTTTAGTTCAGACTGCCATTTGATATTTTATGAATACCTAACATGAATAGGACAATATATTTACTATCCTCTGTAAGGAAACAAAATGAAAAGCATCCTGCTATTATTATCTCTAATAATTTTAAACCATGTCATTTTATTTGCTTAAAAACTAAGATTTTAGTTTGAGTGAGATTTGATTTATAGTTTACAATTAATTAAGCATTTTCTAAAGCTAAGGACTAATAAATGGGAGGCCTTTGGAACTTTTAAATATATAGGGTAATATTTTATTAATATTAATAATGTGAATAATGTGAAATTTTATCTCAACTTAAATTGGTATTTTAAGTATTATTTAAAAACAATTCACACTTACTGCTCTAAGTGTATCCTTTTAACTTGTGCTTGACTATTAAATCCTCTTTGCCCTATTTAGGCTGTAACATTTTAGATGCTATACTCTAAAACAGTGCTTAGTAACACTGATGCTTTGGGCTATTTTTATGATACCTTAATGACATTTTTTGAATTTATTTTTTTCATTACCCAGTTCTATTTCAGAGACTGGCATATTGATTTTTCTAATTAATACAGCATGAGCTGAGATGGTGTTTTCGTCTTCTTTCTAAAGAATTGAATAGCACTCTAAGTGAAGTGCTGGTATGTTATCTTATAAATGCTCAAGGTACAGCTTCTAATGTTGAAAAATCGAAAAATAAATTGACCTTGATGAAGTGTGTCTTCTTTGGTCTGTTCCCAGGAAAGTTTATTTCAGGTATTTCTACTGCTGAAATGATTAGCGTTAACAGCCTTTTCCCTCCATTTTATTTTACAGGGTCTCTTCATCTTCCTGATATATGGGGTGTACAACACAGAGGTAAGTCTGCTCCGAGTATCTCAAGGCTGACAGAGTGAATGAGAGAAATGACAGGTTTCTTATCTTGATAACTGAGGAACAAAGTTGGCTTTTCATATGGGTGTCTTACTGCCCTTCACACTTGGGCTGGCTTATGTGCATCCCAGCTTACCATTCACCACTGACACCCTGAATAAAGGGACAGACTCATTTCTCATGGGCACTGACTAATATTTTACTACTGCCTCAAGTTTTTGAATTTTCAGTTTTTAACACTTAACTGTACTTGACATTATTCAAGTTTCACAGTGTAAGTGGCAGAATGCTTACATGTAGTTGCATGGAGTAGAAAAATACTAATATTTCTTTTCTAAAAATGCTCACTAAATATTCTCCTTTTAAGTTTTTGAGCAAGCTCAGAGAGGTTAATAGTTAATAATCTTTATAGCTTCAACTGTGAAATGTCTCAGGGCAGTTATTTTTCTTGTTTAATCTGAGAAGCGATTTAGCTAGAAATATTGAGAAAATTGATTTGCAATTGCATTAACAGATGCTGGGTAAAGGTATCATAATCGAAGTTCCAGTTTCTCCAAAAAAATTGCTGATTTATGAATACTGTTAGGGATGTAGCTGGTTTAAGTTTTTGCAGGCTAATATAAGCATGCCCCGTGTCCATAGGCACTGAATAAATATTTGCTTGATTTTGTTAACTCTTGGATGTCAATTTATTTTGTCATTTTCTTCTTAAGGGAAAAAATAATAATTTTGCAGTTGTTTCTCCGTATTCTGCACAGGTGGGTGGGGGCGGGAGGCCAGAGTGGATCCTAGCACAGGTCTTCCAAAGGCCTGCTGGCCCTCTTTTCCCAAACAACCTGAAAAACCAAGCAGCAAACGTGACAAACAGACTCATTAGGCAGGCTGAGAAGGTATGTGGGTATTTAAATAACATCTGATGATGATGAAGTATGCGTGTGGGCGTGTTTTACAGGCGACTGCACCTGGCTTACACCCAGTTTCCTTTTCCAGTAGCCTTCAGGTAGGTTGGCAGTAAGACAATTTTTTTTTTTTTTTTTTGCAACGGTACCTCTATTGCGGTTTCAAAGCAGGCTCCTCCTATAAATGCAAAAGATCTGCGCCCATTATTAAAGTGTCTCCAAACTGAGGGGTAACTGTAGCGATGTTTTAATAAATGTTGAGGATTTGAGGTTTAATGCCTTTATGTAGAATCAAAAGGGCCCTAAGTGGACCACGCTGCGTTTGGATTTTGCTTCAATACCAGGGCTGCAGACTGCAAAGTGAAGTCCAACATTCTGTCCTCGGTGTCCCCCACCTTCTCCTCCAGCCTTTCTCTGCAGATCCCACGCCACGCCGCAGCCCCGTCCCGCGGTAACTTCCCGCCCCTTAAGTTCCACCTCCTAAGCGTCTTTCCCCCAGAAGCCCTCACCCACGTCCTCCTCCCCGGTGCCGCCCACCAATCACGCCCATTCGCCTCGGAAGCCTCTCTTTAGAGGGGCTCCAAGTCCCCTCCCCTCCGGCCCAGGGCCTCTCCGCGGCCCAACCGCCCCAGTGATTGACAGGCAGGCCGGGCGGAAGCTGCGGCGCAGGCGCCCTGGCTCCGCCGAGCTCCCCTTTGGCCGGCCGAGTAGTTCCCAGCAGACACCGCGCCGCGGCTGCGCAGTGCCGGGGAGGCTTTTAATTCCATTGTGGAGAGGACGGCGTTATTTTTATTAACTGGAGGCGACGGCGGCTGCGGCGGCGGCGGTACCCGTAAGTGTTGCCGGTGGGTCGGAGAGGGCGAGGGCGAGGCCTGGGGAAGGGTCGCGGAGCCATGCGTGCCGGTGCCGGAGGCTGCTGGGCTGGGAATTAGAGCTGGGCGCGTTGCGGTCTGGGCGGCGGCGCGGCGGGGTCCCGGCGCTGCGGTGGTCCCGGCCCGGGGCCCGGTTCCACCTCCTTCCCTCCCTCTTCCCTCCTCCTCCTCCTCTCCTCAGCCAGGCCTCCTCCGGGGTATGAAAATCGGCAGTGGGTTCCTGAGTGGCGGCGGCGGTACCGGCAGTAGCGGTGGTAGCGGCTCCGGCGGCGGCGGCGGCGGTAGCGGCGGCGGCAGCGGCGGCGGCAGCGGCGGCGGCAGCGGCAGGGGGGCAGAGATGGAACCCACCTTTCCCCAGGGTATGGTTATGTTCAACCACCGGCTTCCCCCGGTCACCAGCTTCACCCGACCGGCGGGCTCGGCCGCCCCTCCCCCGCAGTGCGTGTTATCCTCCTCTACCTCCGCAACCCCGGCCGCCGAGCCCCCCCCTCCGCCAGCCCCGGACATGACTTTCAAGAAGGAGCCGGCGGCGTCTGCCGCGGCCTTCCCCTCGCAGAGGAGCTCCTGGGGATTCTTGCAGTCTTTGGTCAGCATCAAGCAGGAGAAACCCGCCGAGCCTGAGGAGCAGCAGTCCCATCACCACCATCATCACCACCACTATGGGGGGCTGTTCGCTGGGGCCGAAGAGAGATCCCCGGGCCTAGGAGGCGGGGAAGGGGCCAGCCACGGCGTCATCCAAGACCTCAGTATTCTCCACCAGCATGCCCAGCAGCAACCAGCCCAGCACCACCGCGATGTATTGCTCAGCAGCAGTAGCAGGACTGATGACCACCATGGCAACGAGGAGCCAAAGCAGGACACTAATGTCAAAAAGGCAAAGAGGCCAAAGCCAGAATCTCAGGGAATCAAAGCCAAGAGGAAGCCAAGTGCATCTTCCAAACCTTCTTTGGTTGGAGATGGAGAAGGTGCCATCCTCTCCCCAAGTCAGAAACCTCATATCTGTGATCACTGTAGTGCTGCTTTCAGAAGCTCCTATCACCTGCGGAGACACGTCCTCATTCATACAGGAGAGAGACCTTTCCAGTGTAGCCAGTGCAGTATGGGTTTCATTCAGAAATACCTACTGCAGAGACACGAGAAAATTCATAGTAGAGAGAAGCCATTTGGATGTGATCAGTGCAGCATGAAGTTTATTCAGAAGTACCATATGGAGAGACACAAGAGGACACATAGTGGAGAAAAGCCATATAAATGTGACACTTGCCAACAGTATTTTTCGAGGACTGATAGACTGTTGAAGCACAGGCGCACATGTGGTGAAGCCATAGCTAAAGGAGCCGCTAGTGCAGAACCTGGGTCACCAAACCATAACAATATGGGTAATCTGGCTGTGTTGTCTCAGGGAAATACAAGTTCTTCAAGGAGAAAAACAAAGTCAAAAAGCATAGCTGTTGAAAATAAGGAACATAAGACTGGTAAAACAAACGAATCACAAATCTCCAATAATATAAACATGCCGAGTTACTCGGTAGAAATGCCTGCCGCGTCTTCTAGTGGAGGCATGATTGGCACTGGGATAGATGAACTGCAGAAAAGGGTGCCAAAATTGATCTTCAAGAAAGGAAGCAGGAAGAATACAGATAAAAACTACCTTAATTTTGTGTCACCGTTGCCGGACATAGTTGGACAGAAGTCCTTGTCTGGGAAACCAAGTGGCTCACTTGGCATCGTGTCGAATAATAGTGTGGAGACTATTAGTCTTCTCCAAAGTACAAGTGGCAAACAAGGTCAAATAAGTAGTAATTATGATGATGCCATGCAGTTTTCAAAGAAAAGACGATATTTACCAACTGCCAGCAGCAACAGTGCCTTTTCTCTAAACTTAGGACACATGGTCTCCCAACAGTCCGTCATTCAGTCTGCAGGTGTCAGTGTTTTGGACAGTGAGACCCCATTGTCGCTTATTGACTCCTCAGCTCTCAATGCTGAAATTAAGTCTTGTCATGACAAGTCTGGAATTCCTGACGAGGTTTTACAAAGTATTTTGGATCAGTACTCCAACAAATCAGAAAGCCAGAAAGAGGATCCTTTCAACATAACGGAGCCACGTGTGGATTTACACCCCTCAGGAGAACACTCAGAATTGGTTCAAGAAGAAAATTTGAGCCCAGGCACCCAAACACCTTCCAATGATAAGGCAATCGTGTTACAAGAATACTCCAAATACCTCCAACAGGCTTTTGAAAAATCCTCTAATGCAGGTTTTACTCTTGGACACGGTTTCCAATTTGTCAGTTTGTCTTCACCTCTCCACAACCACACTTTATTTCCAGAAAAACAAATATACACTACATCTCCTTTGGAGTGTGGTTTCGGCCAATCTGTTACCTCAGTGTTGCCATCTTCATTGCCAAAGCCTCCTTTTGGGATGTTGTTTGGATCTCAGCCAGGTCTTTATTTATCTACTTTGGATGCTACACATCAGCAGTTGACACCTTCCCAGGAGCTGGATGACCTGATAGATTCTCAGAAGAATTTAGAGACTTCATCGGCCTTCCAGTCCTCATCTCAGAAATTGACTAGCCAGAAGGAACAACAGAAAAACTTAGAGTCCTCAACAAGTTTTCAGATTCCATCTCAGGAGTTAGCTAGCCAGATAGATCCTCAGAAAGACATAGAGCCTAGAACAACATACCAGATTGAGAACTTTGCACAAGCGTTTGGTTCTCAGTTTAAGTCGGGCAGCAGGGTGCCAATGACCTTTATCACTAACTCTAATGGAGAAGTGGACCATAGAGTAAGGACTTCAGTGTCAGATTTCTCAGGGTATACAAATATGATGTCTGATGTAAGTGAGCCATGTAGTACAAGAGTAAAGACACCCACCAGCCAGAGTTACAGGTAAGGTCCCAAAAGAGACCAGGCTGGAGGTCTTCTAATGTAACTTTGTTTTATTTTGAGAACACTGCCATTGGAATGTTTCTACACGATCCTATTAAGAATAATGTAATGCCCTTTCAATGCAACTTTTCATATTTAGTTTATTTTGTTAGCGTGATTTTAGCTGTTTGTATTATGATTTTTAATCAAAATCAATAGATTAAAAATAGTTTGACATTCAAAGTGACAATGTTTAGCAATCAAATTTACGTGTATAGATCGTCAGGGAATAGCCCAAAAGTTTTAAATGCAAAAAAAAAAAAAAAACCCACAAAAAAACAAAAACAAAACAAAAAAACCACACAAAAAAACTTTGTTGCTAGGATTAAGGTTATTCTAATTGCTTTACTCTCAGGAAAGTGTAATAACGCATGGGAATTCTGTACGTTATCACTGTAATGGAATATCCAATTTACAGATAGTATGATATACATTTCATCATTTAAGTAAGGGATCGAAAACATTTCAAATTGCTCTACCTGGGCTGATATGATATAGATGTAAGTTAAGGGATCGAAAACATTTCAAATTGCTGTCTCCACCTGGGCTGATCCAAAATTCTGAGATGTTGGCTACCTATATTTTGTTGCAGCTTTTTAACTGTACTCTGAACTTCCAAACCACATTCATTCCAGCCTGGTAGAACAAATATTCTTGGATCTTTGATCAAAGCCTGGAATGATAGCTTTAATAAAAGAAGAAGAAGGAAAAAGGAAAAAAAGCACCCTCTCCTTATCCCAACTTTAACAAGGCTGTAGTTCCACTGAGAGTCATCTGACATCTGATACAGGGTTGAAGCCCAAGTGGTTGGTTGGTTCCAGTATTTGAACCAAGTTGGAATGAAATAATTCTTTGAAATTTGGGTATGCATCCTCTGTTATACATGGCCTAAAAATACTGTCCTCTTGTCTGTGCTATTACATAGCAGCCACACTTGTGTTTTTTTGCTTTTCTTAACCTGTCTTTCTCAGAGTTTCTGGGCTGGCCTTGTCCCCTGTTCTATCTTGACAGTTTTAATTTTAGGATGATTTACATTCAATTGGTAATTCCTTATGCATTTTACATGCCTTGTAGCATTAGAATGCTAAACCATAGGCTAAGTATCCCTCCCTACTTTTTTTATTTTAATAAAAGAAAACCTATACAGGTTTCCATGTATAGTTAAAACCTTGCATACTCTCAGCTATAGCCATTAATAAGGTTGTAATTCCACCTGGTGACAGAGCTAGTGTGAGGGATTAAGAATGTGTCTGCATTTTAGTAGTGGCATCAGAACCTCTTTGTGAAATTGCAGCCTTTAATGTATATTTTAAAAGGGTGCATTAGTCAGTATTGTACAGGGGTCTTGTAAAGTCATCAGAACTTGCTATGAACGCTAATTGCCATTTGAAGCTACTGGTCGACAGTGGCTCTCTGCTCTAAACCACTTTTTAGCAATTGTATTTTTTTCCTGATTATATTTTTTAATGTACTTTGATGTTTATGCTGATGAGTTTTTTATGTACTTTTGGTGATGTTTCAGTCTTATGTACTCTTCTGGCGTCAGAAAAGTACCACTGGTTGTTTGCAGTCTTATTGTGTAATCAGCCTACCACAGGCTTCCATGTATAATAAAGTAATTAATATTGTGCAAGTGTAAAACACTTCTGTTATGAAAGCAGTGTTTGGAAAATAAGAAATTATTAAAAATGGTTACAAAATACTAGTTAATTTCCTTTCCCCACTTTCCTCCCTTCAGTCTGCTTTACCAGCTAAAGGGTCACCTATTTGTCATTGCAAGATTCTTAGAAAATGTGTTTAATCCTCTTAAATACACTCAGTACTAAAAAGTCTGTATTTCTTATTTTGGTAAGTGCGGTAAGTTCTCGTGGGTACAGAGTACAAGCTGTAATCAGAGGATGGAGAGGACCTTTACCCCACTGTATCTCTTGAGCTGTATGATTTTCTCCAGTGTTTTGTTTTATACAGGTTTTGACTTTCTTTAACTTTTATTGTGTGTACTGAATACTGCATATGTATTATTCTGATTGTTTGCTCTAGTTTACTACCAATAAAAGACCTGTTAATCACAAAATTGAAGAAAGGAGATATCACTTAATATCCAGCTTTTTATGATTTTCAGATTTTCCTGTTAACTTCATTTCACAAAATACTCATGGTCAGTGGTTTAGTTACTTCAATTTTTGTTGTATATTTTTAATCTTAAGTATTCCTGTTTTATAGGTTTATTTTATTTGGAAATTGGGTAAATATTTTCTTGGTGTTTGAGGTGCACTATATATGGGAGAGTAGAAATTTAGTATGTGAATTGGATGTTTTATTGAAATTGGGTTAGCCATCTTAAACATCATTCCAGAGAGATTATTTATTGAACTTTTATTTCAGATCAGGATTTCAGTATCTCTAGGTTCTAAGTGCATCGTTTTTTGCCTTGAAAAGGTGGTTATAAAATAATACAGCAAATAAAGATGGTCTTGATTATCTTTAATTAGACAGAAGTTGTTAAGAGTTCTAACATTGTTTTTAGATAGTTAAAAGTATATTTTAGAAGGAAAGCGCTAAGACGTAACTATTAAAGATGTGAAAACAATGTTTGCAAGTAAATATGTTAACTTTTAAAGATGAAGGAGGAAAAAATTGTAGATGATTGTAAAATCATGAGAAAATTGCTTTGAAATTTAGTCACTATAAATGTTGAGGACTTAGAGTAAATTATTAAAGGGTAAAGAGATCTTTGAGTCTTTGCCTTTTTTCCTACATGATACATTGTATAATGATAAATTACATTTCAGTATAAATAAGGATTTCTCTAGTGAGCCAGTATGATTAGGAAAAGTAAATTAGTTCTTTCTTTGCCAAGGTTAATCCCTTATTTGGTCATTTAATTGAGCAAAAGTGTTCAGCAGAATTTCTGATTCTGCATTGAAATCCAGCTCAGTTTCTCTGCACAGGTGATTTATTTCTCTGTTCTAGATTAACCCTAACATACTAATTTTCTTAACCCACCCACCTTTTTTTTTTTCTGTTCAGTAGAATGACAGAATTTTTCAGTTAAGGCATTTACTTTTTAATTGGTGCTAAAGAACCAATTAGGAAATTATGCATTGGTGTGGCTATAAATTCAGGGTAAGGACTGTCTTAATTTAGCAGTTGCTGGTCAGTAATTTGTGGGAATTTCATAGTGAAAACAGAAAAAGGTGGGAAAAAATTAAATTTGAATTTGTTTATAAGTGCAACAGTGATACAAATACTTCTGTCCCAACTTTATGTGCATTACATGCCAGATAACACAGGAGTGACTTTATTTCATTCCGGCTGTCTTACATTTTGTCATTAGTTTGTCACTAGTAGCATTTATGCCTGAATTGTGCAACAGTTTGAGCACTATGGCCTTTTAAGGACCTAGGTAATCCTTAACTTCCAAATTCAAGAGTTCTTGTTAAACTGAAGAACTATCCTCAAAAAAAAATGAGCTTTTGAACTTCAAAGTTACATTTTTAGAGTAAACTACATGTAAAGGCTGTCATTTCCTGAGTTTTATGATCATGTTTTCTGTGATGCATAATGACAGGATTTCATTTCTAAAATGTGATGCAAGATTCCTTTGTTAGTGTGTGATGCTGGTCCGTGCCTCACGTTGCGTGAGGTTATGTCAGTAATGTTCCTCAGATATTTTTGTTACGGGATCCCTCCTGGCATTAAGAGGAGAGCTTTGTGGTGCTTTGCCAATCTGTTTTTGTACCTTCTATGGAATGATAAGAGTTCCTGAGATAGATTTTGAGAAGAAATGTGTTGGTTCCACTTGCTGTGTTTTGTGTCCTGAGTTTATTACTTAAAATGAACATTAGCATAGAACAGCCTCTGGAAATGCTGTTGTCTTGTCCTTGATTTAAAAAAAAAATCCTTCCCAATTAGAGTTTAAAAGAGATCATTACTATAAAAGGACATACACTTAATTTTTTTCCCCCTCTGTACCTGTTTTGCTCTTTGAAAAAGTACAGACTGTATTTGAGTGACTAACTTTAAGTAGAGTCTATTTACATTCTAAGTGAACCTTTGACTCACTCCAGCTAGAGCTGCCTAACATTTTTAGGGTCACAGACTCTTTAGGCAGTTGATGGTATGATTGATGTCCTTCTCAGCCCCACACATTAACAATATTCCTAAACACAGAAGTTTACAAGCCAATCTATGCTTACAAGTCTCCTCCCCATACAATATTTTAACTTAACAGATCCCAAATTAAAACATCTTGCCTTAGAAGACTGCCTAAATACTGAAATGTGATTGTACAAATAAATAGGAAAGTTAATACTTAAAACTAAAAAAAGCACCAAATATCAGAGTACTTTAATATTTATCTGTAATTTAACATTCAAAGAACACTTTCAAGCTACATAAAGCCATAGAGTTTTATGATAAGCTGATTGAATAATTGAAAAGAATATAGTTCTTTGCAGTTTCTCATCTGATAAGTACTATAGAGATCCTTGGCTTGACAATAGTTCAGTATGTTCCATCAACAAAGAAATGTGTTCACAGTGTATAATAACTACAGTCAACTACTGTGATTCTTTTAGTTGCATAGAAATAGCTTCCCACAGATGTGTATTGGCAAAAATGAAACCCCACAAGCATCCCACACCTTTTACCTAGAAGTAATAATACTGAGTTCTTAATAACATTAAGACTCATTTCATATAACAATGTGATAAAGTTGAAATACACTGTGTAAGATAAGCCTTGTAAATAAAGCTTGTTATATGTTGTAATAGGTATCTGGAGAAGAATGTGATGATTGGATCTTACTCTGAGGGCAAAATGTGTTCCCTTATGTTTGTAGGGAATAAAGGAAGACTGGCAGAGACGGTATGGTAAATAACTTAACATGGAGAAGAGGCTTAAGTTTTGGCTCCACTATTGACAGGGGCACTGGGAAATTTAGAAGGATAAGGAGATCTTTGGTTGAAACCTCTGTTTTGTCTTTCAGTTTAGGCTTGTATTTTAGTTTGGTCTGAACTTTAGTACTATTGTGGAACAATTAATAAATAACTCTTAACAGACAACTGTGGTGAACTTCTGTTTACATTCCTAATCTAGGAAAAAGATGGCTAATCTTTGTGTTTATATATTGAATCTTTTCTCTAGTAACTCATAAAATCACACAGCCTTCACAGGCTGGTGAGAATTATTTCTTACCAAAACAATTGCAGTCAAAATTATTATATGATCAAGTGAATATGTACAGGAATTAAGACAAAAACTCTGAATCTTTATCAACACCCACACACACCCACAAAGTCAAAAATTTACAAGTATAGCATATAAAGACATGCTGTAAAGGAAAAGTGTGAGCGGTTGTAAAATGTTGGAAACTCCCTAATTATTTAAGTTTGCTTTGAAAGTGTTTAATTCTAACTTGTGACTGGCTCATTTGTTCCTTCTAATTTAAAAATCTTATTTTATTGGAAAGTTAATGTTTTCATCAAGAACTTAAGTTTTCATTTTGAGCTCTGGGTTAAGTACAGCTTTTTAAGTCTGGTGTGACACTTCAGTTTTTAAAGAGTGGATTGCAAGATTGACAAGATCAACAATATAACTATTTTATGTTTGTAGGCCCTTCCTACAAGGAAGCCTAGTGCAGACATTTGAGAGGGTTCCTTTTTGGAGGATAATGACAACTGTAAATGGGTATCATTGTGGGTTTCCATGAATAGTCTGCTCAGGACCTTGATCATTTCAGTGTGGAACTAGAGAACTCTTCTGAGACTGCAGTTTCTTAATGGTCCAAAACAGCCTAAGTGCTTAGTAAAGATTAGGAAGCAGATGAAGAGACCTGGAGTTTTCATCTGGCAAATGGATAAAGCACTGGAATAAAAATTACTAAATTGCACCTGATAGAACGAAGACATAATTTTTACTCAATCATAAGCACAACATTGAAAAACAGAGCAGGGTTGATAGCACTCTATCATTCCATTAAAACATTTGAAGAATGGTACTGCTTTATACTTTTGTTACAAGTAGCATTTCAATGACCATCTTAATATTGTGTTGTTAAGGGTTAAGTTGTTAAGGTAAGTTACTGTGGAATTTTGTTCCTTTGGATTTGCAAGACAATGTTGCAGCATTTCCAAGCATTTATTTTTTATGAAGTCCGCTAATACATTACATGTTTTTATAGGCAATCACATTTAGAAAAGTCAACTATTTGCTAAGTGTTTATGCCAATAATGAAGCTGATTGCTTAAAATTTTAGTTTAGAAAATTTGCAAGGGTAGTCAGAAATCATTATACTAACAGTTTTAATTGCCTCATTCTTAGTTGGGAAAAAATTAGGTTATGCCTAAACGTAAATGGTTCAAGGTTTAGTTGAAGAATTACAAAACATGAGTTTTAAACATGGTATAAAAAACAATTAAAACCCTTGGTTCAGATTCATCTATGAAAGGAAAGGAAGGACTTTTGTGTGAGGACAAAGTGAAAAGTGTTCCAAGGAGAGAGATTGTGATGGACATGTACCGTCACATGGTCATAGTTTAAAAGATCTTAAAGATTTGACTGAGGCATATGCGGGTGGCTGTTGGCTGATACGGGTTCCTATGGGTTACTGCTGGTAAATCGTTGGAATGTATTACGAAGGCAAAATTAAAATGCGATTTGGGGGGATTTCTAGAAAAGACTGGTAGAATGAATAGAAAATTACAGTTTTTGTTTTCATTCTTTGACTTTATTAAACTTAGAGAACATTTGGCAAAAAGAGAGAATATTAATGATACGGATTTGCTTTTGTTGAGAATGCCAGTGTTTGTGACCTAAAAAAAAAAGAGGGACAGTAGCATTCGGGAAAAGATGGAAGGAAAAAGTGCCTCGCAAATGTGTATTTCTAATAACATTCAAATGTCCTCTCTTGAAACTTGAAATTTTGAATTACTGCAATTCAGTGTGGGTAAACAATTTGGGAGGGAAAATACTATCACAGACAACTTATAATACAGGTAAAAATTTCATACTTAAATACTGAGTAGTAAAAAAAACTTTTGCTTTTAAGTTCTGTCAATTCCTCTGTATTTAAT